ATGCCTATTCAGCTTTAATCCTCTCCTTAGCCTCTATTAAGGCAATGGTATCTCTTTGGCTAGGATAGTCTGTAGATCCGACTGGGGACAAAATAAAGGGCACAGACTTATGAACTTTGAAGACTTACTACACTGTCAAATTGGTTTAATTCTGAGAGAAGGGTTGAGAGTTTCTGCTCTGTTCTGATGTTCACACATAAACTGTATCTGGAGTTGCATACCATCAACCTTTTGCTGTAATCCCCAAATAAAAGCCAGTTTATTACAACTCAAATAGCAATACGTTGCAATATTATCCTAATACCCTAACAGTTGAGCCAGATATTTCAGATGGTTTGCATAGTTATAAAAGACTGATTCCAAGGAAAATTTACTCACACAGAGCGAGACCAGAAGTACTGGCTAAAAAAATGAACCTGAGCCCAGAACGCTCATCACAGCAACACAGCGTTGAGGTGCTACTCGTGGACGCAGGGAGAGGAGCACCTGTGTCCTTTCCGCCCCTGCAGCTGGAGCCCTGCCTGCAGCCCTGCGCGCTCCAGCACTGATCCTGTCCCACGGCGGGCTACAAAGGGTTCTGCAGCACGTAGGAAGAACCCCCCGTGTAAGGTTTCTCCCTTTATCTCGCATGACACCACAAACATTTGATCTCTTCTGGTCTGCAAATGTTTCTAAAAAAATCCACGAGATTTGGGCTCTATAGCTCACGTTAGTTTCATGTGAAATATATATGTGATATATTTGTACACACTATTGGGGAAGAATTTAGTAAACCCGTTGTTTTGAGGTACTAGAGACCAGACATTTCTAAGACAACGTAACTTTTTCTACAAAGCCTATACATTAAAAAGCCCCACTACTACTTCTGCCAAAATAATTACATGATGGAAGGTAAAAGATGGATGATGATTTTAAAACAAACATCAGGCAACAACATGGTGACGAAGTCCATGATTTTAAGCTCAGGATATTCTGCATCTATATGCAAAACAGTAATTATTACTGAAGGATACTAATAAATTCATCATAACTCGAAGTAGAAATTAGCTACCTTCAATGCTCTGTGGACCGACTAGATTCATCGCCTGGTGCGCCGGATATTCTACCCGGGGTCTGGCAATGCCCAATTGCTCCATAACCCCATGGAGGAGCCTCTGAATATCTGCTTCAGAAACCCTGTCAGGGGTCCTAGGGCTGTGGCTAAAAGCTGAAGCCAATCCAAATGCCAGCAGAAATACCATGTTACAAAGCAAGGTAGTTGTCATTCTGGCAGCCACTTTTATCCTGTGAAAAAGAAAGGAATTTGATTATAAACGATAGTGGAAAAAAAGTCCAGTACACATGCTGGAAATAGCTTCTGATCTTCCTGCACATCACAGTTTACTACCACAGCTTCTAGGGGCAGCGGAAAATCTAGCCAGCTGAAAACCGGGGGTGGGGGGTGGTGATCGGGGGGAATAAGGTGGATAGGTTTTTCTCTTCTAAAAAAAGTATTAAGTAGCATACTGCAGAAATCAATTTTCTGATTTGCATTTGCCCATAACATTCATTAATAGTCACTGCAAACAAAATGGACCCACTGTTTCATTTAATGAGAATACGTTTCCCCTCCCCCCCCCATGTTTATTATGCTATTTTATAAAGCTCTGGGCTAAAAGCAAAGAACTCTTCAGCCAGGAATTGTGTTTTCCAAGCTCTGTTCTTGCATTGCCTGAAAAATAAATCACTAGAAACTGCTGAACAACCTGGGTTATATTTTATTTGTACCTTAAGATAAGAGGCTTCCTACTCCGTATGCGTCATCTTCCCCACCTGAAGCAAATAGGTTTCCTTGAACCCCTTTCACTAAATGGCTGCACAGCGTAGTTTAATTAGGAGGAAAAAAAAAAAAACAAGCACCGCTTACTGTCCTCTTTGAGAGGCTGAATTTTAATCAGAATGCTTGTTTCTTAAAGCTCCTTTTCCCCTCACATCAGAGAATAATTAAAATGCATCACTTCCAATCCCTTGAATAAACAAAAACCCCTCGAGTCCCCCATGTCTTCCTTAAAGCACACACAGCTGCCTGATTTCTCCACGCCAGACGTTTAAAGATGTTCCACTGTTCCAACCGCCCCACGCAAGGCACCTGAAAACGTCTTTGAGGCAAAAATGGCTGAAAAAAACAAAGCTGGGAACATTCCCCGCTACGCATGTGCGCGGCTCCACCACACCAGCCCTCACCGCTTCATCAGCCTCTGCAGGAGAGAGCCGCACACCAGGCGAGCCACCTCTTTTCTATTTAGAGGAAAAAAAGCCTGCTTTCTACAAAATATTTCCCGTTAATATGCAGACGAGCG